TTTTCCCGTCTTTTGCCAGCAAGAGGAAAGGGAAGGTCACCCGGCGTCGCTTTGAGGGAGCTGCTTCTGATTCGCCGTGCGGAAATGTAAGGATTTGGACTGGGATTATAGGCAGGGAAAATTAGGACTCAGTTTACCTGAGTATTATTCAGTTAGTCTAAATCAAACTCCTGCTGCTATTAAGCTAAAGACAGAATAGAAAGTAGGGGAGACAGCCAGGGAAGAATAACAGTAAGATAACCACTGACCAGTGGAAACTCTGTTATGGGAGTTAAATAGGATTTTCCTTGAGGCGTGTGTGTGGGGGGGGCTCTGCCCGCTTTGTGTCTGTATACTGTAAAATCTGATTAATAGAAGTTGACACGCTGTAAATAACTAAGATGACAAACCACTGAGGCCAATCATGGCATCCTATCTCTGCAAGCCACCCCCCCCCCCCCCCATTTCCACCCCCATGGCATCTTGACAGCGACACGGGCAACGCAGATCTGTTTGCTTCCTTTGATTTAATCCCCTTCCTCACGTCGATCTGAACCACGACGGGCAAAGACTGGACTGAAACGTCCATTTATGTGAACCCAAAGTGCAAAGAAGCTACAACGCAATTATCCAAAGTGTAAACATTGTTTAAGATGGACAAACAAGTCATTTGCATGATATATATATATACAAGATATAAATACATGCAAATTACTTTTATATATACACAGAATTTTGCCAATGTCAAGCAATGTGTTGATTTATATAAAGATTACTTCTAATAATGAATTCATTCATTCTCACGTCACTAATTCATCCAGAATCATAAGAATTACAGCTAATTCCCCCTAAACAAGACCCCCCCAGTCATAGGTTATTTTCATGATTCTGGGTAAACTGTTCATCCTGAAGGCTCCTGGTCTGAACACAGGTGTGTGTGTGTGTGTGAGTGTGTGTGTGCCGCTTACACTCCACGGACAGCTTGAGGGTGTGCACCCAGGGCCGGTCCTGCGTGCGCTGCTCCACCAGGCAGGTCACCTCCCGGCCGTTGTCGGCCTCCGTGGGCACCAGCCGGTACTCGCTGCGCACCGTCACCGTGCCGTCCGGCCCGTTGGTGGCGCTGGCCGAGTGGTTCCCCCCCACCGACGCCAGCCACTTGATGGTGGCGGCGGGCTTCCCGTCGGCCGCCTCGCAGCGGGCCACCACCACCGAGCGGGTGCCGGCCCGCACCGTCACCACGCTGGCCGAGTTCCTGGGCTTGGCTGGGAGGGGACGACAGAGGGAGAGGAGACGGGGTTAGAGGCGCTACGGGTCCAGACGGTGGGAGCTAGAGAAGGGAAAACAGAAAGCAGACATCAAAGGTGGGAGCCGGAGGTTGGGCCGGTTTGTTGTGTTCTTCTCTGTGGCGTCCTCCTGCGGGATGACACCGACATTCCAACCCGAGGCCGCTAAACATCAGGGAAGAGAAACAGCAGCCTCCAGAACCCGCCAGTATCTGGCTTCAGTTAAAAAACAAGCCGAGATGAGAGTCAGACCCGATGCCGTCGGACCGACTGCGGCAGATCTGTGAAGCATTTGGTATCCGAGCAGAAACAATCGTCTCTTTTCCTCCTCGGAAACATTTGCTTTGTTGAATCAAACAAAGCCGGCTCAGGGTGAATGTTTTTCGGAGCATTATCTCCGGCTCTTTCAGGGAAACCCTCACCTGAGTGCCATCTATCACTGAATAAAGCTCCTCTTTTGGGAAACGCACCAGTTTTTGTTCTGCAGAGCGGGAAAAGTCCCTTTAGATGCCTTTCAGTCTTTTCTTCTGTGGAGGGAGATCGCAGATCACACTAAAAGCAGCGGCTAATTGCTTTTTTTTATGTTGAGGAAGAGAAACTCTGCAAAACATCTTTTAAGTAAACAAACCAAAAGAGAAATATCTGCTCTTTGGCTAAAAAATGGCTAACACAGAACAGAGAACCGCGGCCCAGACTGACTGCTAATGACCTCAAAACCTCCACGCTAACGCCGTCACCTTCAGGATTTGTGACTTCCTTTCATCTGCCAGCAGTCAATCAGTAAATCACCAACGTCCCACATCAAGTTCCGCCTTTAGAAAACTGTAGGACACAGCGCTCGGAGGGCCGAGCTGCAGGCGAGCAGAGCGAAAGATGGATAGTGTCATAATGGACTTTAATCATTTATTTCCCTTTCATTGTCAGTTTTATCCAGCCCTCCCTGTCAAAGCTGTCAGAGAAATGCACTTTCATCCTTCCATCCATCCCGTTTCTTGACGGGTTTCGGTCTCCGAGGCCGACGCAGCGTTCTCTTGACGTCACGCCGGCATTTTGGGGATTTTGCCAGTTTATTTGTGGAGCGCTTTACATCACAGAATCACAAAAAGGCAACTAAAACATTCAAATGTAGAAAATAAACAGGAGTCAAACACATACAAAGACTTCCAGCTGTCACATCACAGTCAGTCAGATGTTCTCAGCCTGGATTTAAGCATTCAGAATTCAGGTTGGCTTACCCCCCAAAAAAGACTGACCCAGGTTTTAGGATCCAGGCTTCCTGGTTTGGTTCTGGCTCTCTGGACCCCAGCAGGAGTCCTCTACCTGAGGTTCTGAGAGTCCCAGCTGCTTCATTCAGCTCCAACAGGGTCCTTTTAGCACCCTGTAATTCAGCGCTGCGTCCTGATATTCTTAATTACTAAACTTGTCATTAACAGTAGAATCCAGCTTTTTTCACCTCAGGTGAAGTCGGCCAAGACATTTTTTAAAATAAATTACATTTGTTTTCTTTCTTAATTTTTTATCCACTTATGTATTTCAATTCATCTCTTTGTTCGGCGCCATTTTCAAAGTGCTCTTTAAATTGTCTGGCCGATGAGACTTTCTCCTGTCAGGTTTATGGGCTTTCTGAGCCCTCTCTTTGGGCCAAAAACGGATTTGAAACAAGGCAAAGACACCTCAGATCCCGGAATGTGGAAAAAGTTGGAGGGCTCAAACTTTCCCGATGTGTTGGACTTCCCAAAGAAAGCCGAGAATCCCTCTCAGATGTGAGCGTGTCAGTCATGAGAGTCGGAGTCCGGTCGGAGGGCTGGATCTGTGCCTCGCCTCGGGCTCTGTGCTAAGTGTCATGCATCAGTTCTTTGATAACCGCATCAGCGATTCATCAAAGCCGCCCCCTGCTGCGCACGTGTCTCGTCCTGCACCGGCCCATCTCTCCATCTTGTGGAATTCTTGTGAAAGCTGGCTGCAGCTCGGCGGCTGACATGAAGCAGAGTTCTTCCTGGTTTACCAGCAAACGTGAGCCCTGAGCACAAATGGCAGACTTTCGATGAGCCAATGGGCCCGGTCGCTGCCTGTTGCCGAGCGGATCACCGGAACCAGGGAGAAGATCGGTGATTATAGGAGGTAATCAAATCCCCTTCCCCTCCAAAATGCATTAGAGCGGCGTTAGTGCCAGTGGATGAAAATGTAATGTAATGAAAGGACGATTCTGTTTGGTGTCAAACAAATCTTAAGATAAAAGGACAGAGGGGAACCGTGCATTGTGTTTCTAAGGTGCACAACGGCTCATTATTTTTGGTTTAAGGCTTTCATTACTTCTCTAATTTCACAGCATTATTAACATAATCCGTGCTATGAGCCCCTTTGTCAGCGTTGGACGGCCGCGCCCACTCCGCAGAATTAACCGGCTTCAAAGTTCTGCGGCATGAAAAACACATTTAAAATCGCACCAATTCCTGTCTGAAACCCTCCTGGAAGAGATAAAACAAAGAGTGCTGATTAAAAGCCGAGACGCGGCTGAACAGGAGGGCCGCAGCGTGAGGAAGATAAGCAGAAAGCACAGCGGGGAAGACACAAAAAGACGAGCACAGAGGGAAGGAGCCAGCGGGCAGACAGGAGAGCAGGGAGGCGGAGAGGGACCGGGACTGATCCCGGAGCCTAAACCAGCCAGGAGTATCCATCCCTGACTTTGACACTGCGTCCAACAAGACCTGACGCTACTCTTTACATTAGCTGGAGGCATTTTAGGACACAAGTCATTAGAAGGCAATCAGGAAGTCCCACTAATGGAGCCGAGCGGGCCCTTTCATTCAGACAGATTCAATAGGAGGGCCACACGTCCCATATCAGGAGTGTTTTCCGGAAGCTTAAGACCGGTTCTGGGCTTTAACCTCTCGGTGGTTAGAGGGAGCAGCAGCACAGGCCGCCACACCATGCACACCAGGTCATCTTTCCTGTTGACTTTTTACAGAAATGATGCCACCTTTGAAAGCAAAAACTGTCATGTTAAATCAGATATGGTGGAAACATCTGCCCCCGCTCAGAGTCTGAAGCAGATGGAGCCTCAATGTGACTTTCACACGAGACAGATGAGCTCATGTGATTTTAATTCAGCTCTGCTCTATTGATAGAGCGACAAAGAGCAGCTAATTTAATCCTGAGACACTTCCAAGATGAAGCTCAATTCATTTCATTTGCAGCCCGTCCATTAGTTTCTCCCCCTTATCTGAGTTTGGGGCAACAGGAGAGGTGCTCCCAAAGGGGGATAATCCCCCTCAGCCTCTCTGACTCTGGCCTCGGGCCGCCTCCCAGTGGGACATAACCAGGAGAGCTCCAGAGGGAGGTGACCGGCAGGCAGCCCCACTCACACCTGAACCGCCTCCACTGCCTCTGCCAACTACATCCAAAACCAGTCAGATTAACACAATAAAAACAAAGCTAAGGAAGCAACGATAATGCACTCAGACCGCTCTCTGATCCAATCTCCTCTCCCGGGCGTCCCAAAGAAAATCTGGGGGATGTTTTAAACTGAGCAGGAATTCAATAATTTAAAAAGCCCGTCGAGCAAGTGATGCATCACATCATTCAACTTCTACACATAAGAACCAATAAAGAGAGCAAACTCTGTGAGCCAATAGTTAAGGAAAGCCTGCCTCCTCTCGAGAAATACATCAACATTATGAAGCTAATCATCATGTGTGTATATAAATAGATGTCAAGATATGATCATTTTAAACCATATATATATATATATATATATATATATATATAATCTTTATTATAGAAGCAAAAACACCTGTAATAGGGGATTATAGTCTGGAACTGGACTAATATCCCCGTCCTCATAGTTGTATTTGTTGTACTCTACAGAGGGCATGTACATCCGGCTGCTCCAACAGATGAATAGCTGGTCTGGATGCAGGCCAAGAGAGCCCCGTCATGACCCCGGCTGACCGGTTTTACCGGCTTACGGCCCCCGGCTGGCCGGCCTGAGCTGCTGTGTTCACACCAGCAGCCCGTAAACCTTTTGGCTGACGGAGGACGGAGCTGTGGTTAAGTTAACAAGCCCCAAACGTAACGAGGCCGCTGGTGTCGGCTGGGGTTTTAATTGGGGGAAGGGGGGGGGGGGGGGGTCGGAAAAAGCGTGCACAGAGACTCCGGAGTGGATCCGCTGCATTAGCTGCTGGCATCTATGGATGTTTCCTCCTTTTAGCACCCTGTAACTCAGCGCTGCGTCCTGATAAAAGGCGGCCGGCCGCTTTCTCTCTCTTTTTTTTTTTTTTGTTGTGCATTTTCTACTTTTCTGAATACATTAACCAGAAAAAAAATCAATACGCACTTCGGGACCTTGTTAAAGTTGTTGGTGTTCATGTTTTACCCGGCTGTCCGGCCTCATAAACAACCTCAGCTTGATGCTGTCCTGCTGAATATCTGCATGAGAAGAAATCTGTTTTTCCGGCTGGTCGTTGCACATCTCATCAACTCTTTACGATACCTGACTGCCCAACGCCTGAATCTCCCATCCGGGCACTGCTCTGAGTGATGTTCTGACTTCTTATTACGGGCAGCCGCAAATATAGGCCTGCAATCATTTAAGGGGGAGATGAGTTTAGTTGCAGAAACTGGAGGCATCCAGAGCTTCGGCTGGATGGAAAACGCTGAATTTAGTCTGGCAAATAATTGATATGACAAAGGACAGGATGTCTGCAGCATGTTTGTCTCATGGTTCGGATTTCTACTATCTAAAAACTTCTCAGTATACGAAAAACTACATTTTTTTTTTTTTTTTTTGTTCTGTTTGGGTTTTCTACACAAAAAAGGGAGTGTGGTAGTTGGGCTGTCAAGATATAAGAGTTTCAAAAAATCCGAGGAGGAAATGACAAATTGAGAATCCTAAAGGGCTCGGGGTTAAATATTTCCACCAGCAGCACATACATTCTCCCTGAAAAAGCCCCCCAGAAGGGAGTTTAATGCGAAATGTC